AAGAAGAGGAAAAGGAAAAACCAAAGAAAACTGAATAAAGTACAGTTACATTATTATTTCTCTTAATATTAAGTTTATTGTTTTGATAAATGTATCACAGTTATATAAGATGTTAATATTTAAGGAAACTAGGGGAAGGGAAAATAGAAATTCTTTGCATTATCTTTGCAACTTTTCTGTAAGTTGAAAAGTATTTCAGAATAAAATGTTTATTTAAAAAAAAATAGGTATCTCCTCAGGTACTTTTAAGTTGACATCTAAAATTTTTCACCATAAGTTTAAATATTTGCAAAAGGTATAATTTCCAACATATTATAAATATTGTTATTTTAAATTAAAACTGTCACATCACTCTTTTAAATATATTCAAAAGACTATAAATACCAAAGTAATTTGAACCACGCTTTTCAATTTAAAAAATACATGTGCAAGCTCTTCTCTTAACTGTCAAAAATATTAAATTATTCCTTATTCTCCTTGAACTCATATTTTAAAATTACTTCCCCTACATAATTTAATTCTATTGAGATACACTTTTATGCTTTAAAGTCCCATTGATTACACTAACATATCTCCTTGAAATAAGAATATATATAAATTGAAACTTTAATTTTTAAAATCACCCATGACCTTAAGGCTTAAGTGTTAATTATAATTAGATTTCAATCCAGAATAAATTTTTATCAGTAATACACATTTGATCAAAATGGACTACATTACAAAAATTTGAAAATTATTAAACCTGAAAAGTAATGATTTATTGGAAATTCTCATATCTCAATGAGAAGAATAGAAGTTGTTTTTGCCATAAGGAGGGCTTATGACACAAATATTTGGAACTGTCCTTCTGTTTGCTACAGAGGAGGGTACTATTCATGGAAAGATTCCATGACAGAATTCTGATTGAGTGAGAGGTGTACCTTTCTTTTGTAAAACAGAACAAAGGAGGATGTGAAATAAAAGAGGAGTGTGGGAATTCAACTTGAGGTCTTGACCCCAAGTGCATTTTCACACAGAAAATATAGATAAGAGTAAATATGGAAGTTTAGGATTTATGAAGTGATCCCCTTAAAATCATCCATTCCTGTGTCCCTCTTAGAAAGACTTCATATATCTCTGAGAGTACAAATTTCCCAGTCTGAAAGCTAAACTCTTGAGGATGCTGAAAGGGTTGGAGTTTATCCCATGGGCTAAAGGAGAATGATTGGAGCTGCCAAGCAGAAAAGATTTTGTACTTTAGAAATAGAATCTGGGTCATTATTTCCTGGAATGGATGAAAGGAAAAAGGAACTGGAGGAGTAGTTGAGTTGGTGGTACAGAGAAATCTTGTAAAAGTCCTTATGTGGGAGCTCCAACCCTCTTCCAAGGCAGATTCTTACTTCTCAGACAATGAGATCCATTAAATGGTAATCATCTCCTCAAGGAACAATTTCCCCTTGTATTCCAGTTCTCTAAGCATTAGGTAATTCTCAGTCCAACAAGTTGAACATGTCCAGACATCACAGTGCATATTATAGAACCACAGTCCTTGTGACTACAATACAGTATGAGAGGTCTAAAGCACATTTTTGTCTCTATAAATGTGGGAGAAGACATTTTATCCTTAGCACTTTCCATTATCTAGTTAGGTCCCAGTTTAAGGAAACCCTCTGCAATAGAATCTCACTTAAATGAATGCAAAGAATAAAACCTGAGTCCTTACAGAGGGTCCTTTACATCCCAGTGGACAGTCTGTATCAAAATTATAATTCTGGCATGAGCAAGACTGTATTTTCACAGATTCCCTCATCCATTTAGAAAAAAACTCTTAACTACTTAAATATCTTTTGGGAGGAGTATTTATGTAGTGCCCATTTGTCCCTGCTGCTGCTGCTGCTGCTGCTGCTGCTGCTGCTAAGTCGCTTCAGTCATGTCCGACTCTGTGTGACCCCATGGACTGCAGCCCACCAGGCTCCTCCATCCATGGGATTTTCCAGGCAAGAGTACTAGAGTGGGGTGCCATTGCCTTCTCCGCTATTTGTCCCTAGACACCTGTAAAATACTAAATATTTTAAATATTCTTTTTAAAAGATTGTTCTGATTATGGGTTTGGTATCCTCTGAGTAATACCAAAATTGTGTTTTGCATGTTTGACACTCTGGGTTAAAGGCAAATTGTGTTGCTGAACTGAAATGATATCCTGACAGGTATTACATAATTCAAGCCATGGAAAGCACATTAAGTACTGACAAGGACTCTCTCCTTGATCAAACTTTAGCCTGGTTCCTCTGAGTCCTTTTCTATGCTAGGCATCATCTTTGGTCTGCCATCCTTGTCCTTGAAGGAGATTTTAATATGCCACCCCAAAAATACACCACTGTAGATTATTCTGTGCCAAAGACAATTAATGCAGACACTGGAAAAACTCACTACCATCCCCCTTTCTGCCTAAAGACAAGGTCTAAATTTCCTTCTGTGAAGGTGTCCTGCAACCTCTCTCCTGTACTAGGAAGAATATAATGATTCTTAATCACTAGAGACATTGTTATCACCCCAGGTACTGCATGAGATCAGTCTGCATAACAAACATTATAAAAACAGCTCTTATCTCCCATGAGTTTACTCACTATATTTACCTTCTCACAATTTATCACCCCTAGAAGCCCAAACCCCTTTCCCTTTGCTTTGTTACTTCTCCACAATTTATTACCCTTTGTTAACATGGTATACAAAACCCCATCCAAAGGGTTCTTTGGGTCTTCATTTCTTTTCTGTGAAGGCTTTCATATGCATATATTAAAAGCTTTCACTTTTGGTAATTTTCCTTTCATCAGTTTAAATTTCAGGGTCTTAGTTACTGAATCTAACAGGGTAGAGGAAATGTTTTCTCCTCTTCTGCAAATTGTTGTCCTTGACCTGCCAAGCCCCATCCAGCAAAACAAAAATCCTGCCAAGCCAGTTTCACAGGAATCTGCTCCCTCCTTCACACCTAACCAAGTTTTTCCATACACTGAAGCCCTCAGCCTACCTAGTGTTTTTAAATCTACAGCTGTTTATGTGCATTCAGAATTGAGTTCAGTCTCTTTCTCTCCTAATGCAATAGTCTTGAATAAAATCTTTCCTGATACAATTTTTCTTTGTTAGTTTCGGCATTGTGTTGGGTGTGGTAGTACAAGAGTATATATGGTATAAGTCCCTGCCATCCAAGACCATACAATCCATTGGGTTGTGCATTAACCCAGTTCAGTTCAGTTCAGTTCAGTTCAGTCACTCAGTCGTGTCCGACTCTTTGCAACCCCATGAATCACAGCACGCCAGTGCTCCCTGCCCACAACCAACTCCTGGAGTTTACTCAAACGCATGCCCATCGAGTCGGTGATGCCATCCAGCCATCTCATCCTCTGTCGTCCCCTTCTCCTCCTACCCCAAATCCCTCCCAGCATCAGGGTCTTTTCCAATGAGTCAACTCTTCCCATGAGGTGGCCAAAGTATTGGAGTTTCAGCTTCAGCATCAGTCCTTCCAATGAACACCCAGGACTGATCTCCTTTAGGATGGACTGGTTGGA